CTGTTCACGCGCTTAAGAACTAGATTTTTATTTTTTTTTCAGCAGGTGGGTAATTAAATAAAATCATTTGATGCGAAGATTAGAACTTAATTCTTCACTCGGCAGAGAAACTCCATCAATGTGATTGGCGCTGCAACTAATTAATTAATTAGAGAGCCTGAGCTGCGGGTGCCGGAGGAGAGCCTCTGCCTTGGGCTGCGGCTGGGGCAGCGCTGCCGGTGAGGTCCCTGGGGTGGGCTGGCTGGGAGCCCACGGGGGCTCGTCTGCCTTCGGGATGCTCCCGGGGGTGGGTTTCCAGAGCAACGGGACACGCAGAGGGGTTTGGAGTTAATGGAGTTAATATTTAACTGGGAGGTGCACCGTGGAGGTGTGAATAGATCCCTAAATAGAGCAGCTCACTTTTTTTCCCTTCCATCGCAGAAAGCAAACGCATTTTTCCTTTTATTCTTGGCAAAGCAGGGAAACAGGTGGAAGATAAAAATAACTGTTTTTTGAGAACAGGCTTTGCATTAGTCATTTCCAGTCAGCCTAAGAAATGTAATTTCATCTTGTATGTGCAAAGCGAGGGGCAACGTGCCCGCCGTGGATGTGGGGTTGCCTGACAATGGCCGTTTATGACCTTTGGTAATGAGTCACAAGCTACCAAATCTCGATGAATTGTTATTATCCTCCTGTTTCCCTGCTGGTGAGCGCATCTGTGCTGTGCTGGTGGGGCTCCAGCGCAGTGAATCGTCTGCTCTTGCAGGCAAGTGGAACGTCTGCGTGTTACACAACGGCCTGTTCCAGGCGGAAATGAGTTCCTGTAAACTGCCAACAGCGGAACCGGGGGTTTAAAGTGCCTGTTGGTCACTTAGAATCACTTAGGATCCAACCAGCTTTGTTGGCTGAGTTTGTGTCAAAGAGTCTAAGCCTCCACTCAGCCTGATTTTTACTTGAACTTCTTAAAGGTCTTCAAATAAATGAATTCATTTAATGGATGGTGGAAGAGACACACAAGCAGCCATAAGCAGCACATAAAGAGCACGACACACAAAGCTATACTGAGACAGCGGTGAATATTTTTTGTTAAATTGCCTTCAGAGGAGCACGTGAGCCCTACAGTGACATCCTCATCACCCGACAGGCGGTGATGCAGCTGGATGGTGCCCAGTTGTTGCAGGAGGGTTTCCTGCTGGGGATCATAGCAGGACTCTGGAGAAAGAAATCTCCCAAAGCTCATGCTGCTGATTTCATTTTCTCCAGTGATTTTCTTTCAAGAACAGTAGGGGCTTCAAAGAAATTAACAAATGCTACTGGACTCATCTGGGGGAGATGTTGGTGTTATCCCCTGCTGCGTGGGCAGGCTCTGCCTGAGACAATCCTGTGCTGCAGGAGAGGGTGATACGATTCTCCTCATCTTGTAGCTTTTTTTTTTTTTACAAATGAGGTGCAGTGAGTTTGGGTAACTTGCCTAGAAGTCACACAGCGAGTGGGTGGCTTAACTAAATCGACAGAGCCTCCAAATCCTGGGTCTGCATCCCCTGCTGGGAGCTGCACGGCCAAGAGAACGAGGCAACGATAGGACCTGTGTCCATCCTGCATCCAGGAGTCTTGGGGGAGGCTGGGTGCTGATACATCCATGTTCTGTAAACACCGGACAGGTTCAAACCAGAGCACGCATCCTTGCGCTTGCTATTCCGCATTTTCTGCCTCGACGTCGCTCTCATCTGTGAGAGGGAAATCGCGCAGGGTTTTCTGAGCTGTGTAGCTTTTGGTTTGCATGGGGCACTCCTGGCTTAAGATTGCCTGGGTAAAGGAGAGAAGAAATCATGTTTTAGTGAAAATGGTGTTTAATTTGAATAGTTAACGGGAGCATTGACACTTTTACAGACAGCCAAACTTTTGCCCAGGGAATACAAAGTGTGAGTTAGGGAGAGGACCATAGCTCCAGGCTTTGCTGGTTTTATTGTCTGAGGTTTTTTGTCCCTTTTTTGAGGAGAGCCCAAAAGGGAAGACATAATCCCTGGCAAATTTATTCTTATCCCTCCCCCTAAATCTCCGGATGATCGATCTCCTCTCCTTTAGGGGAATGAACTCACAATCTTCTCCTCTTTAGCGGGAGGGTTGCGCAGGTACCAACAGAGAGGAGCGTAAGCGATATTGATAACTCCAATGATGATCATCAGCCAGGGGAACCCCACAGCTCGTACAATCGCACCGGCTGTGGACGGACCTGCAAATTTAAAAATTAAAACAGGCTGAGATGGCGGAGAGCACGAGGTGCCCTTCCAGTTTGGAGGGAGTCTGTGGATCTACGCTGCCTGGGCTGCACACTCAGCAGTCGCTCGCAGGGAAGGCTGGTTGGAGGAGAGGGAGCGATAAACGGGGTGAGGTATACACAGAGTGCATCATCCCACGGGTGAGGGCTCGTCCCTACCGATCGCGAAGCCCATGCAGAAGGCAACGTCCGCTATGGCGTAGACGTTGCCGTAGACGGAGGTGTGGCGAAGGTCCACGAGGTAACCCATGATGGGCATCATGGAGGAGTCCACCATTCCTGCCCGGAGGAAGAGGGACCCGATCAGCTGTCGCCGGCTCCGAGAGCAGCGTTTGAGCTGCGCTGTACAGCCCGAACACCCACAGCTTACCTATGGCAAAGCCAAGCCCACCGTTGGGGCCGATCAGCCCGTAAATATCTCTGGCCAGAGGCACCTTTGAGAGGAGAGGGGACATACTGAGCATCCACCGGCGGCCGGGCATGTAACCCCATCCCGGTGCGATTGCCCGCACTGCACCCCCTGGTCCTCCCGCAGACGGGGCCGGGAACGGTGCTACTTACGCAGAGGAGACTGACCCCCACCACAGCCATGCCGACCAGGGAGCACAGCCACCTGCAACGAGGGCACGGTTAGGAGAGGGCGGGTGGTCTCTGTGCACAGCACCACGAGCAGAATTCGCACCGAGAGCACAGGGCTGGGCTGATGCTCCACTCACCGGCCCATTTTGGTGCCCAGGATCCCGAAGAGGTTGGTGCCGATGAGGTAGGAGATGCTGGCAGGGAGGAATGCCATCCCTGGACGGGAGAGAGAGAGAAGAATTCACCTCCAGGGAAATACAGGGGATTTTCTTATTGATGGGGGGAAACTGAGGCACAGTGATTCACCCACAAGATCGGGGTGAATGATCTTGTGCTAAATGCAGAACTGGTTCTGTCCCCTGTCCCTTTCTGAGCTCGTCCTTCTCTCCTGTCATTCTTCCACCTTTCTCCCATCCCTGGACGGGAGAGAGAGAGAAGAATTCACCTCCAGGGAAATACAGGGGATTTTCTTATTGATGGGGGGAAACTGAGGCACAGTGATTCACCCACAAGATCGGGGTGAATGATCTTGTGCTAAATGCAGAACTGGTTCTGTCCCCTGTCCCTTTCTGAGCTCGTCCTTCTCTCCTGTCATTCTTCCACCTTTCTCCCCTTGCCTTCTGCTTTTCCCTTACTAAATAGAGAGGAATAAAATAACTGCTGAAGTAAAAAGCCTGGAGATTATGATGAAGTTAAAATTAAATATTTGCGCTGTTTGCTGATTAACCAGCTGTTTGTTTTTAATATACTCTCCCGACGACTATAAATAAAACCCATCAGCTCTGCTGCACTAAGACAACTTCCTTATTGAGACACACTGATTGATGGTTCATTTTCTCTCTCTAACAGCTACAGAACACGGTTAATCCTGCAGGTTTACTCCAAGCTCTTATGTTTTTTTTTTCCCCAGATGGATGGGAGTGGGCAAACTGAAGCGTACAAATCGAGAAGCCCCTTGAGTTCGTAGTGGCTGGGGAGGTGGGTGGCTGGCCGTCAAATTGTGTCTGAATCCAAACTGCTCTCAAATCTCAGGCACCTGAACATCCAGTGAATATATTTGGGAATTTCTTTGATGCCTGCTGACCTCTGGGTCCTTCTAAGTCCCCTCAAAGGTTCCCTGTGAGTTCAGGGGTGACAGGGGCAGCCCTTGGTGCATTTCTGAGCCGGTGACATTGCCGCCAGCAGCCTGGGGACGCTGCTTTACCCTCGCCCATCCTCGCTCAATCGCTTGCTCATGAGAAGCGTCGCAGGCTCTTATCGGGAGGAATGCTCCCGCCTGACCGGAGGATAACTGGATTAGGAGCTATCTCAGCCCTCCTGCTCCCAGCTGCAATTCAATTTGGGAGCTGAGTGTAGCCTGGGGCACCCCGCGGGTCATTCCCCAGCCAACTGGCTTTTATAACAATTAGTTTTTATTTCTGTAGCACACACAGGCAGTGTTATCTCCGTATCACATTTTCGAGGCAGCTGGTAATTGCACATACCATCCTGTCCTGCCCGGGACTCTCTCAATGACCTTGTTTTACTGGGAGCTGCCTCCACCAAACCCATCTGGCTGCTGCGATTTCAGCCCAGCACGACACCATTATCTGCCCAGCAGAAGATGGGATTCGACAGGCTTCCCGGGCACGCAACAGCCTTTCTTCCGTCGTTATTGCTCTTGTGGGGAGCCTGATTCTATACAATTTTTTCAATAATAGAGAAAAGCACATTGTATAGCTGCCACTAAGGACATTTCCAGCTGAAATTGGAGCAACACACAGCCTGGGATCGCTCGCTCTGCGCGGGTGAGGATTTATGTTTTCCTCTTTTTTAGAATGATGCAGCAGATTATTCAATCCATCTCGCTGTGCCAGAGCAGGACCAGTTCTGCCTAAACAATATCAAGCTGAGGAGGGAAGGCTGCAAAGCGTGGCACCCACCTAGCTGCCATTTCGGGGAGCACATGGTTTGCATCATCCAGATGGGCAGGGTGGGCTCCAGCATGGCCACCCCCATGTTGGAGAAGCAGAGGGCTCCTGGCGGGGAGAAAAGGGAGAAATGCTCCAGTTTAGCCCCTTTCTGCTGCTGGTTCAAGCAGGCACGAGGAAATGTGTGCAATCGGGAGAGGCAGGAGCACGAAGCGGGGTGCGGTGTGTGCTCACGACCCCCTTTACCTGCAGCCACCAGGATGTAGGGGTCTCGCAGGAGGGTGAACACCGGCGTGCCCTTGGTGCTCTGCGGGGTGGCAATGAGGGGTTACAGTGGCTGAGACCCCCGTGTGCGTCCCCTCCCCCCGTGCACATCCCCTCCCCTCGTGCACATCCCCACCCCTC